TAGGATGCCTTCGGGAAACTCGTCCAATTGATTACTAACAGTGAAAACGAGGCTCTTCTTAGCAGGATTTTGACCGTTTCACTCCGTTCTTTCGCCATTTCCCCACTATATAGCCCCCTACTAGCATTTTAGGCCGAGCACCCAATCATCGTGCCAACTTCCTTTAATTAGTATTGATCGCACATGATACCGTTAACTTATTCCTTTGCAGGCATCAATGTAATATCGATGGCAATGGAGTTCTACATGATGCCACCCGGACTGAAGTACGTACTGAAAGCTCTGAACTATTTCTTCACTGCTGTGTTCACACTGGAAGCGCCATGAAACTAGAGTCTGGAAATCAGCCGCATTTTCTGTGAACACAGCTGTGAATCGTCTGGACATGTTCATCGTCTTCCTCTCTGTGGCCGGCATCATATTTGAAGAGTTCGAAGCACTAGAACTGCCTATCAATCCGACCATCATTCGAGTTATGAGGGTACTGAGAATCGCGCGAGGCTAGTTTTCAAGATCATTCAACAACTCTGAGTATTTCGCTTTCGCAGAATTCGAAAAACTAGTGAAAAACTTACTTCTCAAGAGAAAATTGTATTACAAGTTTCTTAACTTTTCAGTGCTCAAACTGCTGAAAATGGCAAAAGGAATACGATCGCTATTGGATACTGTCGGTGAAGCGCTACCACAGGTATGAGGGCTTTCAGTTTTTCCTGAAAACATTTTATAAGTACCTCATAACACCCCTAAAAGCATAAGGAGCGAACAATTCCTTCTGGAAACTCTTTGTCAATCGTAACATTTTTGTAGGGCTTCAAGCTGACCCTCACCCTTATATGTACATACGTCTCTGCCTCGCCTTTCAGCACTCGTAGCCACGCCTCTCCCTGCCCTCAGATATAAACTGTATATCACTTCACACTTTCAATGTCTCATGTAGTCTTGTCCATGACATTTCAAGAATAAAACAAAATTCAAAATTAGTAGAAATTTCGGACACCATGGGCACAATGAAAGGCAGTGAAACTAAGCGAATTCCAGCTCATCTCTAATTGGTACTTTGACAGACTGATTATAGCAGACCAATGAGAGTGCACCGTGGGTCCTGGTGGGAATGCAGTCCACGTAATGCCATTTGCAACACACGCCGTCCAACCCCAACGTGATGGACCACACTCTGCACTGGGTCTCGCATAGCTCCATAACCAACTTACGCTGCATTCGGTATGACCTCTCTCCTCAGAGGTGCATTCCGTGACTATCCGATAGGTGAAACCCCTTCCGTGTGCAGTTCGCCATCTGAGAAGCTGCTTCAGCCGAACCAGGCCACCTGTAAACTGCGTCACACATCTTGAGGCGACTTATGTCAGCAGTCCTTTATTTCTATCAACACAGGAGTGACGCTTTGCGTTCTCTCTGTGCAGGACCAACCTTTCTCATCTTGCTTTTCTTGCAGCGTTTTCCTATTCCCTCATACTTTAATTCTTGTCTCTCGCCTGCGCAGTAATGTTCCGCTTCTTCGAATACTCGCCCAATCCTGGGGCCTTCTTTGGGCATTTCGACGATTCCACCAATTCATGAACAACTAAAACTGTCATTTTTGAACACGTTGGAAACCGGGTCATATTTCAGGTTGGCAACCTCGGGTCGCTCTTCTTTCTGCTGTTTTTCATTTTCGCAGCTCTTGGAGTGGAGCTTTTCGGGAAGCTTGGTAAGTTTTTGTAAGCTATCTACATTTCCTTACATTTCTCTACTAGTCCCTGCACAGTTACATTTATTCGTTGCAGAGTGCTCTGAAGATCACCCCTGTGATGGTTTGGGTGAGCATGCACATTTCAAGAATTTCGGTATGGCTTTCCTGACGCTCTTCCGAATTGCCACTGGTGATAACTGGAATGGCATTATGAAGGTAGGGAAAGGAAATTGTTATCAGTTGTTGTTTTGATGAGATAGCTCATGTTTAATGCTGCAGTTCGCGCTCTGAAAATCATCACACAATGCTGAGTAATATGCGAAATTTTCGACCCATCGTGACATGGTCTGCACCTCACGCTTTCCGGACGAGTGCGATGCGCGGCTTCAAAGGCAGCGGACGAAGGTTGGGAGCGTGCTGTTGGTGCTATAACGTCACTGGAAGGCTGCGACAGGGCGTTTAGCCGCTCCACATTCAGCACTTCCACCAGTGACGTTGACAGCAACCGCGCAACCGCCAGCCCCCCAGCACGCGCCCACTGCCTTTAAACTCACACGATAATTCGGTACTCGATCTAAAATGCTATCAGGGTGCTTTATAGTGGGGAAAATGGCGAAAAAACGGTGTGAATCGGTCAAAAACCTGAAAAAAAGTGCCTTCGTTCTTAATGACTCAATTTCTGACGAGTTTTCCGTGGGCATCTTGTCAATAACCACTACGGTAAATACTGCTGCACGCATTTACTCATACCAGTCGGATCGCCCGCCTTCGGCGGGCGATCCTCCTTATGCGTGTGAAGTGGGTCCCCGGCCATCCAAACTGAGGGCCAGTCGGATCGCCCGCTCCGACCATGCCAACTGAGGGCCGAGTCGCTACAACGTAAAAATTTTTTTTGGCAAATCAGAATATATTAACGTTTTGCACATTTGTATATACCCTTAGTGGAACGGTCGGGAAATTATTCGGTAAATTCGAAGGGGTGAGAATGCCGTAGCGGATTGAACTGACGTTAGAAGTACATATATGTTATTTGAGTTGTTGTAGAAAGACAGGTTAACAAAATATAAAAAATAAATAAATGCACAAAAAATTGTAAGTAGTTATGAATTTTGATTATGACCTCATATTCACTGCGTGTTCTCACTGCCGTTACTAATTAGATATGTTTGCAGCAGCGCGGTCCGGCCGAACTCGGCGCACATCTCATCCCTGGGGTATTCTCTTCACTTATGTAACCCGTCCTCCCCCCCTTTGGCAGCCCACTCGAATTTTCTGTAACAAAATTCGAGTCGATCACAGAGCGGGTTCATCCAAACACTGCTCGCGAAAATCGATCGAATCAACCTCGACCCACTTCTTACTCCACGTTTTCCCGCTGCTCGGGTAGTTCCGGTTCGAACTTCGAAATTTTTACTTGGTCCCCACCTACCCAGACAAACGCCCGCCGACTGCAATCTGCCGGGCTCTTTCCAAAGCCCAGTTCGGGTGTGCCTCCTTCTGTTTATCTACCTGCCACTTTTTACTCGAGTCCGTTTTACCGCTCCCCGAGTAGTTCCGGATCGATTGAAGATTTGCGTTAGGCCACCGCCCGCCTGAACAAATCCGCGCCCGCGTCGACTTCGGGTATACCCGCACGCCCATTGTGGTGTGGTCTAAACGATGTGTGCAATAGGAGGAATGACCTTGTCTGGTCCGACCAAAACTGGACAGGACAACATTCATCGCTATATAATACATATCTACATAATAATACAAGCGGGAAACCCATAAAAGTTACTATTTCAAAATAGAGTTATACGAGGCCAAAACTAATAGTATACACTTTATTAAATTCTTATGGACTAGATTAAAGAGCATAATTAATAATGATTGGCGCGAACAGAAGTGGTGAAGTGGACAAGTAGCCGTGCTACCTCGCATGCGGCGCCGGCTTCGAATCCCGGGTCGACACCCGCTCAGGCCAACCAAGCCTTCTACCCCCTGGGGACGGTAAATTGGTACCAGATTCGTCTGGGAGGATAAAACACTGACTTGTACATCGGCTGGCCACCGCAAGTCATTGTATAGGCCACATCGCATTCAGTAAGCCACTACGATTCTGAATGGAAGTAGAATGCGTGCCGCATCCCACAAAGGGTTGGATCAAACAACGGCGAAGATTTATACCTTTATTAAGTGCGATATGTACACTTCCCGCCACAGACTCTGATCGAACGCGCCATCGAGAGATTCTGGCACGCAACCGCGATGTGGTCCCGAAGATCAGCGAGATTCGATTTCTCCGCCACCGTGGCCCACCCTATTGAACTCCGCCCAAACCGGATAATTGAGGGAGGTCAGGTGACACACTTGAATATTCCATCTTCTTCAGGTACTCAACGCCCTTCCATTCCAAGTAGGCGAGAGTTTTTCCAACGCCCTTCGATTCCATGTGGCACCCAAATCCTGTAGCAGTACAAAGTTTCCAAGAAGGTACGGGCGACGACATGAGGCAGGATACTCTCAACGGGTTGGTCGATGTAACCATCAGCGCTCACCTTCGGTCCGGGATCCAACGAGAGAAATATCGTATTTACATTCCAGGTACTCGTCACGTCCCTACCATCAACTCCGCTGGCCTTGGCGACTGCCGGTGGAAGATGATGTCCGACTCGTGTCGACGTTCTGGAGCTACTCGATGTTGTAAGGTCAATACCCAGATCGAGGTTCAAAAGGTCTGCTCTTCAGTCAGGTTTCGACTGGAGATGACTTCATACTTTGGTGTACATGAAGGTGATGGGCGAGAGCCAGCTCCTGCTTATCGAGGAACATCTTGGGTATCTTCCGCCCTGGGCAGCGAAAACTTTGCTGATAATTGACTCGGTGAGTACTTTTTTTTGCCCCCCCCCCCCTCTCCCCCCCTGTACATGCACCGCGGCCGTTTCATATCAATCCCTTCGCTTCATATTTACTTCGCAAATGAAGCATACGAGCATCAGGTACGGTCGTCCATTTGTGGGCGGGCGGGCGCGGTGGGCGTCCGGGTCGGTATGTTGCAGCTTGATAGGGCCTTATGAAATACCTTGGAAAATGCGCTGCGCAGCGCCTGCTCAGGTTCGCGAAATTCCGTCCTGCCAGGCGTATTAACCGTACTCGTCTTGGGGACTTATTGTGCAACTGCCTTCGAAACAGTTATCATAACAAAACATTCTCAAAACATGTGAAGCCGGTACGATAATTGTTAGCTCTGCAGAGCGCCGGTCTTCAAATTTTGAAAGCCCCGGCTATTTTTGTCATTTTTGCACCGTCGACTGGCGAAAACAGAGTAACTGATCATTTAGGACGCTCTTCGAGACGATTGTGACTCATCAGACCGTTGCGAGACTAATTGCTGTGTGGATCCCATATTAGCGCCGTGCTTCTTCGTCATTTTCGTTTTGATATCTCAATTCGTTTTGGTAAACGTCGTCGTTGCGGTGCTCATGAAACATCTGGAAGAGAAGTAATAAACGTGACGCGGAAACGAATGACGGTCAAGATGGAGGTGTAGGTATGTTGCTTTTTTGTTTGTATCAAAGTGTACCAGTGGTACTGTCCATAACTCAGCGTTGGAGAGGGATTGTCCGCGGGCTTAGTTGTGAAATCAGCGGCTGCTGCA